AGGAGGGGCAGGAGGTGCTCCAGGCGCCGGAGCAGAGATTCCCCTGCAGCCCCTGGTGAAGATCATGGTGAGGCAGGCTGTCCCCCTGCAGCCCATGGAGGTCCATGGTGGAGCAGATACCCACCTGCAGCCCGTGGAGGACCCGATGCTGGAGCAGGTGGATGCACCCAAAGGAGGCTGTGACCCCGTGGAAAGCCCACGCTGGAGCAGGCTCCTGGCAGGACCTGTGGACTTGTGGGGAGAGGAGCCCATGCTGGAGCAGGTTTGCTGGCAGGACTTGTGACCCCGCGGGGGACCCATGCTGGAGCAGTCTATTCCTGAAGGACTGCACCCTGTGGCAGGGACCCATGCTGGAGCAGTTTGTGAAGAACTGCAGCCGGTGGGAAGGACTGACATCAGAGAAGTTCATGGAGGACTGTCTCTTGTGGGAGAGACCCCATGCTGGAGCAGGGGAAGAGTGTGAGGAGTCCTCCCCCTGAGGAGGAAGGAGCAGCAGAGACATGTGATGAACTGATTGCAGCCCCCATTCCCCATCCCCCTGCACCGCTGCGGGGGAGGAGGTAGAGAATTTGGAAGTAAAGTTAAGCCCAGGAAGAAGGGAGGGGCAGGGGAAGGTGTTTTTAAGATTTGGTTTTATTTTTGTTATCCTACTCTGATTTGATTGGTAATAAATTAAACTTATTTCCCCAAGTCAAGTCTGTTTTGCCTGTGACGGTAATTGGCAAATGATCTCTCCCTGTCCTTACCTTGACCCACAAGCCTTTCATTGTATTTTCTCTCCCCCATCCAGCTGAGGAGGGGATTGATAGAGTGGCTTTGGTGGGCACCTGGCGTCCAGCCAGGGTCAACCCACCACATCCGTATGAAGAAAACACAATATTTTTAATGTCAAATTTCTTTAAAACTTTGGATAATGCGCACCAAAAAAAGCTGAAATGAACATACTTAATTGATAAGGTCTGTACAAACACCTAACTCAAATTCTACATTCAATTTTGTTACACAGAATATGTCACGATTTTGCTTTACAAAATTTTGTTATATGGAATACCACATGTGATGCATCTGTCGGATACATGACACTTGTATTAAAAAAGAATGGGAAACCAAGCCGCAACTCAACACAAAGCCAGCAGGCATACAGTAATAAACACCACCAAAACAAAAAGCTCCTTTTTCAATAGTTACTGAAATTTAAGATGAAACCCATCCAAAAGTTTTCATTCAAGCTACATAATTCTGCAGTACGTAGAAGTTAGACGTATTGTTGGGATTCCACAACTTAAAAGTGGAAATAAAGATTCCCTATTCTGATTCCATTCACCATTCAAGAACAGGGAGTGGAATTTCTAAAATTATCAGTCATTAAAAAGTGAATGCTAACTTTTACTGGTCTTGTTATAACAGAGAGAAATGTTTGAATAGTCTGTTAGTGCTCATCAGTCTGTGCAAAGCTCTGTATCAATTAAGCCTAGAAAAGATCTAGAAGAAATCCTCACAACAATCTTTGGCAGTCACTTAACTGGCAACAAGACCACAAAAATACATTTTTCATTACAACAATACGGATTGTGACTGAACAAGAAGAGCTAATAGAAGGCATTTCTGTTCCTAGGTTTTCAACAACTACCCTCAAGTTTTAAATTACCATAAAACAGACTTTCCCATTACATTTTCTCTGTTCGCTTTTGCAATAAGCAGCATGTTTGTTAACTGTCCTCCATGTTACTAATTCATCATCTTTTGCATTCCCCTCAAGTGCTTAAGCTCTCCATAAGTTTAGAGAAATGTCTTATCTAATGTTTCCTCCAACACAAAAAAAAAAAAAAAAAAAAAAAAAAATCAAGCTGTTTTTAGGCAAACCATTCTTATCAAAAGGATTTACTTGTTTTGGAGGCAGAATGTAGCAACTTGAACAGAAATAAAATGCAAGGACATTCCCTATTAAAAAAAAAACTTTAAGTTTGGATATGATTTTCAACAGTAAGCTACCACACATCAGCTATTACCAGTCCTTTGATTAATGGCCCCAGTCAGAGAATCACGAAAGCCTGTGACTCTTCCAGCAATAAAAAACAGAAATCCAACAACGTTTGCTAGTTAAGATGTAATGTTATCAAAATGTTTTTACCTCAAGTACTAGCCAGAGCTGTCCTCCCACATATTGATCTGCTTTGTAAAACATCCCATAAAATCTAACAACATTAGGATGATTGGGAAGAAACTGCAAAATATTATATTCTGCTTCAATTTCTTCATCTACATCCTAAATAAAAAACACATACATACAGAACATATAAACACAGTAAGTCTGCACAAAGCAAGAACAAACTCTCATGGATAAAAAGAACCATTTTTTAATTAGTTTGTACTTTTAAATGGTTTTACTTTAATGCAGCTGAAAGTACTCACACAATACAGTAAATTTAATCCACACTAAATCATGCCACTTTTGCTTTTTTTACATACAGAAATGTGAAGTCTGTGTAAAGCAAGCAGTTGTTCTTCAAGGATTCTTTTAGTGCATAATATACTTAACCAGAAAAGTAGAAATTATATTTAACTTTGCTCAGTTGTCTAAATAAGAAATTTACACATGTATTATTTTCTAATCTGTTTTTAAACATGCATATTTTTAATGTGCAAGCTAAATGTAAATACATGAACCTTTGATTCATTCTTTTTTCCATGGTCATCAGATGGGACCAAACAGAGAACAATTTCACAAAACCTCAAAAGGGACATCCGTAAAAATAAAGACATTTTTATAAGGAAAAGACATACACCAGAAACAACTGAAGAAAGACAAAACAAAACCCATGAAATAAGCAAATGTTACTAAATATTTGTTAATGAAAGAATTCTGTGACAATTACAAAATACTGTTTAATATCAGCATACAGGCCGCAACTCAGAACAGTACTTAAGCCCTGAATCTTTCCTTGTTTCGGCACAGACTGGGACTATTAGAAAATTTAAGCTCTTACATGCATTTGCCTTTTTTTTGCATTTTGCTAAAAAGGATATCATCTGACTTATTACCTTCTTCAGATTTATACAAGAGAAAACCAAGATGAATTTCAGTAGTGGCAGATGACAGAAATGTAACTTTTTTTAGTAAATATTTTAGCTCAGCTGTCGTGATCAAACTCCAGCCTGAGCAGCTGCCAATTAAATCTTCCATTGAAAACTAGGGCCTTGGTTCTCAAGGGAAGCTAGGCATTTAATACCCACTAAAACTGGAGCTGGCACAGAACTACCTCTGAGAATTTGGGCTGTGCTCTTCTGTTTTTATCTTAACTATTGCCTCACAGTATTATCCGCTTATAAAAGATAACTATAAAATATCCTAAAGTTCACAGTTCTTCTGTGATGGGAAAAGTAATTCTTTTAGGGAGCATACAGAATAAAGTAAGAACATTAAGATTACCAGCATCTTGTATTTTCCCTGCTATAGCAGGCCCCTAAAAGGAATGCCTCTTTGCCTTCTTATCATTTGCATGCTCCAAGCACAGATATCTAAATTTGTACCAGAAGAATTAAATAGACCTAAAAAAGAAACTAGCCAAATGCTGTCTTCAAATAACCTACAAGATGATCAAATTGTAAGTTGCAGCTTTCAGGTGCTGGTAACAAACTCTTTCTGTCAATGCATTCTGCAAAATTGATCCCTTCAGGACACTTTCAGTATCTTACACATTTGATTTACATTTCAACTCTGTTTGAGAATTCTTTTAAATTAACAATCAAGTTACAGTTTAATATTTTTTACTTACACTGATAGGATCCAGAATCTTTACTGCTGCCAGACTCCCATCTTTCTTGTTGGCAACCTTATAGACTTTACCATAAGTGCCTTTCCCAATAGTCTCTGTAATTTCCCAGGTATCCGAGGGATCCGCTAATGAGTCTAGTCCAATCATACTGGAATTATATTGAAACAATCCATACAATGGCTTCCTGGAAAAAAAGCAGACACACATACAATGGGAAGCCCTAAGTAACTCTGTAATAAAGGCGGCATCTTATGATAAAGAAATCAAATATTGTCCTAATTTGAGAAGAAATACAGATACAATGACAAATGAAGACCAGACAGAAAGATAAGATCACTAAATGAAGAAATGGAAAGAAAACTCTGGGGACCACTTCTCTTTACTTACTTTGCTGTATGTATCATTTGCTCCAAACATTGCCCCATATACTGCATCATTCTGAACACATTTTAACAAGTTCTGACAAAATCTGATCCCACCCTCTACTGCATGCTCTTTTAACGGACATTTTACACAATTGGTTTAACACGGCTCATGAAATGAGGCCCTATTTCTTGTGCATTAAAAAGCCATGTCATGCTTTTAATATATTTTTGTCTAATGCTCCCTGGATAATTGCCAGACAGGCATTCAGTAAGTATAACACCTCATCATATCTGATGTATCTACAACAGGACTATGTATAACTAGTTTAACAAAAGTTAAGACTGGGCTGGCTGGTATCATAAAATACAAACCAACTTGATAATAGGCAACAGGTACCTCACCGGGGTAACTGGAAATGTTTCTCAACAATTACACTTGTCTCTGTATTTTAGTCAGAGCATGTTATGGTCAGCTACACTGGCTGACTACACCTCCACCCTCAGGCGATCCCCTGGTCAGGGGAGTCATTTCCCCAAATGCTCCTGAGCGATGTATGGATCAGTGCAGCCTATGCAAAGGGCTCCTTCCCACCCCTGCAATTACACAGATGGCAAGTTCTGGCGATTAGGAAAATGACAATACCATTTTAGGATTTCATTTCAAGTAGTGAGAACCTAGACCTTGTCCCTGAACTGGAATTAGAGAAAGGAAAGACGAAGTTTAAGATGAGATTAACTTAACCTTCTTATATAACTCATCATTAGGGAAGCTGACTGGTTTATGGTTTCTCTAAGAAAGAATAGTATTTGCCCATTTGGTGGCTGTCAGTAGACAGATCACTTCAGCTATCGGTACATCGGTACACTTAACTAGGAGATGTAAAATCTGCAATCCATGAACAAACCGAAGGAGAAAAATAAGAAAAGTGTTCTTGACAAAAGCAACTGAAGACAACACCATCACTGACTGCAAAAGCTCTTGATTTTTGGAGATGGATCAACTTGCACCTCAGACATACACTTGAATTCTAAGGTTTGAGCCATTTCTCTCTAAGCATGTCCGATATCTGCAAACCTGCCTCAAATAATTTTAAAAACCTGCTGTCTTATTTACCTCTTCACCATTTCCAGCATCAGTGACAACTGTCTGACATGAGAAATTTAGTCAGAAGGAAATGTGAGCCTGGCTGGGGAAACTGATAAATTAATAAGGAATGAAGCAGCAGCTCTTCAGTCTAATTAAAGAAATAATTGTGCTTTCTGTTCATGACAGAGAAGAAAATAACCTGTGTGCAAATCCACATGCAGTGCAACTCTGTATAGCAATATTCAAAATGGAAGCATGTGTATAAACTCATTTGCATGCTTTGTTCCTTTCCAGAAGACATTTTTAAATTCCTTTAGACCCTAAGACAAAACGTTCACATGTTGTAAAAGTAATTTACCATATAGCAGGTGCAAAACACGGCTGTTACCAAAGTCAGGTTAGAAGTATAATCTTCTTTTAAACAACGGCAGGCACATTTAGAGAAAATCTCCTATTTCCCTCCTTGGTTAAAACTGTATTTGCACCAAAGATGGTGCCAAATCATATATCGAATTGCTTTGGTCTCTTGACCAAAAAAAGGCAAAGAAAAGAAGGAAAAAGAAGGGAAGGGAAAAAAAACCCCAACCTAGAGTCAATGTCATTTATCTGTTGTGGGTCAATAATGTAAGTTATTAGGACAGTTTCTCACTACTTGGATCCAATATAGCATGCCACAAATAAAGAACAGTATTCTGAACACATACGGTTAGCATCTCAACAGAGAAGCAGGTCAGGTGAAAGACTTCTCTGAAATCAGTGAACAGACTGTACTACACGCACTGAAGACAGCAGCCACAGACATGTAGCTCCTGATAAGCCAACCTTAAGAGCAAGGTTTGCTTGCAGGGTGGGGGGTGGTGGTGAATACAAACATAAATTGGAACAGTTGCATCTCAGGTTAAAAAAAAAAACATATTGAACATGTGTGATTTTAAAGCTTTAAGAGAAATGCTACAGATGTTCATGTGCAAAGAAACAGAGAAGAATAGACTGCAAACAGCTTTGATGCACACTTACAAAAAAAAAAAAGGGGGGGGGGGGGGAAGACTGATATTTATTTCACTGTCACTATATCAACTACCCCATCACACAGATTGTCCAGAAAATGATGCATGACACTCTTTGTACTGACGTAATATTTATCATGATGCCTCCCTCCAAGCAGCTGCTGTGGATAAATATGTTTTTCCTTAAAACAAACCAAAACAATTTAGTGTCATTGCCTGCTTTTGTTTTGATTAATAAATAACCCTTAAAATGGTATCTCCAAATTTTTGAAACACATTCACATTTCTTTATACCAGAAGACAATGTTGACAAAATCTAACACAAAATTGTTACAGATGGAGGACTGAAGAAAAATTTTTGTGAGTGAGCACTTCTATGCATTGTGATAACAAGGCAGCATTTAGAGGTAGCATGTTTATGCATTACATGGAATCAGATTTGCCAAATACGTACCATAAACCTCTTCTGCTTAAACTAAAACAGCCACTTCTTGAACTCAAGCAATACATACCTAAATGAGGCTCTACATCTGCCATCAGTGAAAAAGTGCCCATTGCATGCAACATAGTAACCCTTATGACATTCCTATGATAGATGTGAATGTTTTACAGTACAAAAAAAAGCAAAAGAACAGTATCCACTATTATCTTCAATATTGTAAAATCTGGATTTTTTTTAAAAACACAAAATGTAAACATTAAAGGAAAAAGCTGAAGTTGTAAAGTGAATTTGCGCTTTTCTTTTTCTATTTCCTGATTTGCTGAGATTCAGAAAAGAAAATGCCCTTGTTTTAACAAGGGCTGCCATTTAATTTGTATTTCTACAGTGAAATTACATATGAATGCAACCACTTTTACAAGAACCCCATATTCAGAAGACCTTAACGCTAAAATGCTGAAGCTGAAATTTCTTTAGGAAGAAATTTCTCCTTTCGCTCCCCTCACATCAGGCCTCACACCTCTCTGGGCTTTGAAATGATGTACAGAGAGTGGCTTATTAGCAATGCCCTCCCCAGCAGGAGCCTCAACCTATTAGAGACCTATTGATTACAAGTATTTCATTATTTCTACCACCAGCTGGAGAAAACTTCTCAGTGGTTAAATCTGTTCCATGCAGGCAAGCAAAATAGCTCGCACCAGATGCTGAAAAATTACACTTTGGCAATTAACTCTACTGGATGGGGAACATCTTACACAAAGCTATTTGGGACTGCAGGGAAGACTGCTATTTGAGGAATGCTATCAACAAGCTCATAGCACTCTACCAAAACTTGTTTTGCATACTTGGGAAGAGACAGAATGCAAAGCAAAAGTAAGAACAACTTGATGGAGTCTAGTCAAACTGCTCTCAGGCTGAAATAGGGGCAAACAGCATGATTTTTTTTTTTAAAAGCAGAGATAATATACTAACTTAAAATAAATCTTGTAAAAGTTGACCAACAAAGACAAACAACAGCATAAGACAAAAAATTATTAACAGGCTTCAGCCATTGACAGGGTTTCCTTCATTCATCCATGAAAAGAGATATTCTCCATCAATAACGTAAATTTCATGCAATTCTTTGTAACACCTGGATTTTTCTATTTTGAAAACCTTTAACAGTCAGAACAAATTAAGTCAGACAAGGCATGACAGACTAACTTAGACAGCAGTCAGGCAAACGTGCAAATAACATTTATCTACATTTAAAGAAAATATTTCCCTATAAGATCAACATTAGAATCAATGATTGCATATTACCACCCCTTAAGAGTATCCCCAAGAAAACAGACTACATGTATTGTTTGGTTTTTATATTGTAAAACAGTAAGTTTCTTTTATGATAACATAAAAACAGTGCACAATTTGGTTTTTCCCTCTGTGAGCTACAGCCTTCCAATTGTGGTCCATGGCTCTCAACAGCCTCAAAATAGCCATCTGGAAAACTATGTGGTGTCCTAAAAGTTCTACTGTGATCTTCACCTATGTTGTGAAAACAAAACAAAAACCCCAAGCCCTATATAGAATAACTACATGCAGATATTTTTATGATATAATTACTTCTGGAATAAAATCAGCAACTTTTTCTTACAAATTTATTATCACAGCTATCTTTCTCAGAAATTACAGGGACAAGAGGGACTCATAAGGAAGAAAAACAGTGCCAGAAATAGCTTTACAATTACTGTTCTATTTTCAGTACTGCCTTACTCAACTCCTACACAACAGTAATTTGCTTATTGCCTTCCAACACGCACCCTTTTCTAGCTCACAGTAAAATGAGACATCCGTAGAGGTTTTGAAATTAGTAAGAAGTGCCTCACTCCAACCTGGTGCTTTCTAACAGTCATGATACGCAGTACTAAACAGTTTTGCATTCTAATATAGCTGGTAGGGACATAATAGCAACACCAGTCAATACCAGTGAAACAAAATTGAACATACTGTTTCTATATGAACAATTGGTGCACAGGGCTAATTTTTGCAAGGTTCTATTTGTCTAACCCCTCTTGTCTCTCTTGTGAAACAGCTGGCTTATACTCTTCTGGCATCTACACATACCGTGGAAGAATAAGAATGTCATATTCAAAATGAAGGTATTTGACTATTTGTAGGGAGCTCAATATTGCTTCCATACAAAATGAATAACTCATAGATAGAAGAATTCAGAAGGTAAAGTTGACATTATCAGCTAAGGCTTCCCCCAGCCATGACAGCCCCTGTTCTGCTGGCTAGTAATGGTCA